CACAAATGTTATTTTATTCTCAAATTAATTTCTTAAAGTTATGTTGAGATTTTTTTTAGCTCATAAATTGGTGTGAAAGGCTTTTGAAACAGAACACAGGGAACTCACAGTCATATTCGTATGAACCTGGCTCTGCTCCTAAGCTATTAAAGTATGCCTGGATTTTGCCCTTTGGGTGTTGGAAACTTCTTTATTTATTTCTTTTTAAAGATGAAACCTGCACATGGTTTTGTTTTATCTCTGCTAGCCAACTTCAGGAGGTAAATATTCTGAATGGCACAGATGGATTTAGATTATTGATTCCTTCTAGTTGAATTGTGAGGTTAAATTCCCTAGACAGTGAACTGCAAATATTCTCCTAGGATTTTTCTTTCTATTGAATTTTTTGGAACTGGAAATTTTCACTCAGTTGGAGATCTTATACAAACTATTAATACTCTGAATGATTTCCAGGTTTGATGTTCTTCTTCTCTTCTTTCACTCATAGTGGCAGCCATCACAGAAGAAATAAAACAATTACACTAGAGGTTTAATGAGAGTGAAACATCTAATACTTATGACATCCTTCAAACAACATACACATGGCCATATCTAGCTGCTTGTTTTCTATTGTTACTTTAGCAGTCCTTGCTCAAAAGCAGAACAGTTGCCAAGCTATTAGATTTAGCCAGCTATTGTTGTTCAGACTGTAGTATTTTAAAAGTGTTTGGATGGACCCTATTCACTGTCTTTTATAGAGAGGTGAAAAAAGCCCTAGAGAGATTTGGGGGTTAGCTGTGGATCAGGTGAAGGAGGCAGCAAGGGTGGAAGCAGTCCGATGGGGACAGGAATGGGAGCAACATACAGAACCAACACAGAAAGGATCGCTTCACAAGTCATAGCTGATACATAGATGATAGGTGATACTTCAAGTTTTTTTATTTGACATAGGGAAGCTACTAAGGCTGATTTTTTTCTGTAATATGTAAGATAAAACTTAATCATAGTAGCTTGCAGCACAGCTTGCATATCCAATATCTCCAGTACCTCCCTGTGGCCATCCGTCATTCTTTCTGACTGACAAACAAGACAGTTGATATCAGCTAATATTAGAATCTCATTCATTTAGCAATAAGTTTTCCTGATTGTATTTAATAGCAGAACAGATTACACTGAAAGACAGTGTACAAACTCACAGGCTTATTTTAAAACAAACAGCATTAAAATGCAGCAATTAACGTAGAAAGTTGTTTTCAACCATGTCTTTCTGCATTTCTTTAAAGGGTTTGAAAATGTTACTGAGTTCAGTGTTACTAGTTATAAATAATCTATTTATAACACATTTAACGCTAAGCAAAAATTTCAGCTGAGCACTGGGGTAAAGTCAGCCCCTCTGGCACAGGCTAGATCTGCACTTTTCATGCTGCCTGTAATACATCTCCTCTCCTGGAGCATGTAGGCATCTGCACCTCTTCTCTATGCACAGACAAGGGGAATTTGGGGGTTAGCTGTGGATCAGGTGAAGGAGGCAGCAAGGGTGGAAGCAGTCCAATGGGGACAGGAATGGGAGCAACATACAGAACCAACACGGAAGGGATCTGCTTCACAAGTCATAGATGCATAGAAGCAGAGAATGATTTAGGTTGGAAAGGACCTTTAAAGATAATCTACTCCATCCCCTCTGCTGTTGCAGAGACATCTTTTACCAGATCAGGTTGCACAAAGTATCATACAGCCTGACCTTGAACACTTCCAACGATGGGGCATCCATAACTTCTCTGTTCAAGTGTCTTACTACCCTTATAGTCCCTGGGGTCCCTGTGACCAGGGTGGTCACCCATCCTGGGGAACCTGGCAGGACATAGCTGTAGGACCGGTGGAAACCAAAATTATGCCAGTAAAGCTTTCTCATAGAGGTTCCTTTCCCGATTTTGCCCCTGTCACAGATGTAGCATCCTGGGGACAATTTTCTCCTCCAGTTCAAGGGAACTTTTTCAGTGTGTTTTTTCTAGACCTAGTCATGTACAAGAAAGGCTGGGCAGAAAGCACACAGTTCTTAGAGAAGCTCTGGGAAAAAGTAATACATTTGCTTATGGCAAATTTACAAAGAAATTGCCTTTCTACCAACCCTAGTGCAGGTTTGATCATCTCTTTGACAAGAAAATTGTAAATGTAAGAGGAATTTATATACGCAGAATGCAATGACCTTAGATGTGAGCAAAATCCTGGCCTCGAGGAAGACAGTGGAAGCTTTGCCATTGATCTCAGTGGAGACAGGATTATACTTGTAGTTTTGTCAAGATTCTATCACTAATGTTATTGTTTTTAAAGTGTCATTGGATATTTAGTTGCATCAGGTGTGGGAGCTTTTATTGTATGATTAAAAAAGAAGGAAAAATATCGTTAGGTTGAGAATTCTGTCAAGGCTGAACAGTTACATTCAACATGTGCTTAAGAGGTAAATCCTTCTGGAGAGTGATATTTAATAATGTTTAGAAGATATTATCTATTGGAAAGTCTAGCTGCTGCAGAATCCTACGGCAAATCCATTCAGCACTGTATCCAGAATATTTTTGTTTTTACTGAGCATGAAAGTCTTAGATGTAAAGAGCCAAGTCAAAGAAGAATATCCTAAATTTATTGGCATAGATCGTATTTAAAGCCTGATCTGACAAACCACTTAAGTGTATTTTTAACCTCAAGTATGCTAATTGTCTTAGCAACTTCATTCCTGGCTGAAAGGAATATTTATGTAGTTTAAAAACCATCCTGCTTTCCAAAAATAATGGCTTCTTAGCATACCATGTTTCATTAGAATGAAAGATATAAAGAAATGGAATAGAAGTGGGAAAATGAAATTAGAGGACTTCACCTCATAAAGTGAAAATATGATCAAGAAACTGCTGGACCTGTACTATTCAAAGGATTAAACACAATTAAAAATGACATTTAAACAGAGATATACTTTTGTCCACTGTAAATATTTGTACATGTTTGATAACTAAAACCACAAGAGAAAATATAATTAGTGAGGACCATCTGGATAGCATGTCAGGAAGACCAAAGGATTGTTATTTTCTCTTTTTCTGTCTCCTCACAGATTAGGCTCTAGTCACCTGCTTCTTACCACTTAACCTAACCCATTTCACTTCATCTTTCAAGGCTTTGGTCCTGTTCTTCGAGTAAAAAACCAGAAAAAGTTTACTCCAGAGCCTGAAAATACTATTCTTTATGTGGCCTTAACATTTGGTGTTCAATCATGTACAAAATCCTGACACAGCACTTGGAGGCTTTGCCAGCTTTGGGGAAAGTCACAAGGATTAGGCATCAAACCTGACATTTTGTCCTTTCTTCTTTTATAGGAAAATGTCAATGTTTATACAAGTCATTGTTTGTCATAATACAGGTAGATAGCGAAAAGAGTTGTCTGCAGTGGAGGCACTCAGGAATAGCTTTCTGGAAATCCTGAACAAAGATGCTGGTTTCTCTGCAGCCAGGGAGAAGGACAATAAGGCACAATATAAATTTTTCCTGTTAAAATCTTTAAATGTCATTATTAGCTATCACCTTTTGGAACTCCTCTTATTCCTACACATCAAAGTATTCTTTCTGACAGCATGTTTAACTCTAAGAAGCTGTGCATGCAATATCTTTATGTTGCATTGAAAGTAATTACTGGGCATATAATGAATTCTTCTTTATGTCTCTAAGCAGATGGGTTCTTATTATCAGGTTTTCAGAACAAACCAATTGTGTTAAGGTGTTGTATCACATCTAATTCCAGGAGTCAAGGAGGTAAATAACCTCATTTATTAATGATCAGGCAAAGTAAGAGAAATTCATTATCTCACACTTATTTTCTCTACCTGATTTTTACCCCACTAGAATGAAGGTGAGATTACATTGCTCTGAAAGCTGGTAGGGAAAGGACATGCAATTTAAAATTATGCTTGGTTGTCAGTCTTCTTTGGAGCTTATAGAGGTAGCATTTCAAGAACAGAGAGAGTTTCAAATCACTGACTTATTTGTCTAAATTCTGACTATAATACACACGTTAGCAATGGTTTACGTCTACTATGGTCCAAATTTATGCCTCGTAAAATTTAACTAACGTCAGTAGATGTACAGTAGTAACGTGTATAACTCAATGGCTTTTCTCCTGAGAATACTCTCGTACAGTTTTATGAACATTAGTTGGTGTATTGATTAATACTTGTTGATCAGTGGTTATACTGATAACTTAGATATCTATTGACTGATTTGGGTAGTACTGACAGAGCTGACAGGCAGGAGAAAAGGTAAGTAGTTGTGGCAGCTCTCTCTTCCAAAGACAGTCTTTGGCTCCCCAGAAATGGCACAACTTTAGACAAAGCAATTTAAAGATCAATCTAGTTGAACTGATGCAATCTGCTAATGCATGTACATTTAAATTAGCTAAATTGACACAGGCAACATTACAATCGATTTGAGTGTGCCTACATTAGGCTTAGCCTTAGTTCAAGATAGATCTAAGTTAAAATAAGATCAATTGTATTTAAAATCCAGCAGGTCTTCAGTGTGAACAAGGCATGCCCCCCACCTTGAATTGGCAGCGCTCTAACAAACTCGAGGAAGACTATTTTAGTTTTTTAATTTTTTCTCCTCACTAAGTTTGTTTGGTCTATTAAAGTACAATGATGTGGTCAGCTGTGTGATCCAAGAGATCCTTTGAGAACAAAACTCTAAAAATAAGGTTCAAAAATCTTCATCCAGACCTTTAGCTTGGTGGTCTGAGTTTCAAATGCAATGACCGCTCCCTGGGTGACCTCAGTAGGATTGGGGGTGCTCAGCACTTGTAAAAGACCCAAATAACTCTCAAACCAGATCACTTATTTAGGTGCTTAGCTTTGCATTTAAGAGGCTATTCTTAGTTCTGCTTTTGGAAGTTTTTCATGCAGGATTTATTCAATTTTCTGTTTTCTCCAATGCAATTGCTTTACATATGACCACCCTTCCATTTACAACAATAATTTTAGCAAGTCTTAAAAAAAGGATACTAAATATATTCTGCAAATTTTATTTCTTTTGACATTTGATACACAGGGAAGCTAAACAATACACAGTTTAGCAAACTGTATATTTTTGTTCATTCATTCTCGGCTGCAGTCATCACTTGGCTGACAACCATCTGTGTCAACCTGCTTTTTCCTTCCCATTTTGCTCAGCTGAAATAAAAATAAATTGACAGAAACAACTTCTGCAGGAAAAGTGCAAAAAAGTTAATAGAATGGTCAGCACATCTCAGCATCTGCAAGCATGTTTTTTTCTACGTTAAGTTTTATTAGTATGCAACATTAAAATGCTATTTATTTCAAATCAAAGAAGGAAAAGCAAGCACAGCTTGTTTGCCTACAAAGGAAAAAGCTATTTCCAGCCCTAGTGGCCCAGCAAAACACATCTTGACTGTTGAGCAGCACAAGGTGAGGGCTGTGGAGGCTGCCACAGCCAGTGTCCCCTGGCAGTGAGGAAAGTGCTTGGAGAACCAGATCAGCTTAAGAAATATCTCATTTCCTTTCTGCATAGTCTGCCCTCTCAGACCATGCTCTTCTCTGTGTTCCCCAGGCTCCTCTTAGCCTACTCTCAGCTTCTGCTTAAGGCTCCCTTATAGGTTATCTGTGAAGTCAGGGATTGGAGAAAAGGGACAAAAGAGAGGCACTAGAAGTGTTGCCTTGAGGCTTGAAATCAAGCCAGACTTGTTGGAATGTGGATTTGGTTTCAGAGGTGTTTTCTGAAGACAACTGAAAGATGTTTTTGTGACTTGGAGAATCATATGTTATCCAGCAACCCTTATAATTTGGTTCTAAGCTGACTGTTTCTACTACGAATATTTTTTAAACCTTGTAGTTATTATTATAGCCTGTACCTGTGAATCTCTTCCCTTCAAGCCAGATAGAGATACCACGGAAATAATATTGTGTAGCAGTGTTAGCAGAGACTGTGTCAGAAGGTGTTTGCATAAAAAAAACAGAGCAAAAGTTGCACAGGATTATGACTTTTGATTTGCCCAAATTCTGTGAGCTAGAATTGTAAATTTAATACATCTTCCCTCCCCCCCCCATAAGTGTACACATTAATATGTAGGCTGAAGTTCTGGTTCTACTTAATTCAGTGGGAATTTTGCCAGTGATCTCAGAGAATCAGAATTTGATGTATTCCCATCCATCCATGCTGCAATCCATGCATCCATGCTACATCATCTATCTAAATTATTCTTGCCAGTCTATCAGAGCCACGTCAAACCCCTATCAAACCTCTCAGCATTGATTAGTCACTGATTCACAGTCCGCAGCAATGCTTTTTCTCTTTTCTTCATAAACAAGCATTGGCCACAGCAATTACATTAGTCTAAATCAGGTATGTTCAACACCAATTCAGAAACATGTTTAGGCTTTATTATAGTGATATAACCAGAACTAAGTTTAGAAATTTGTATGATACAAATGCATAGGGTTATAGCAGATTATAAAAAGTGCTAAAAATTGTTCTTTTAGCCTTAGAAAATTTCATCCTATTGAAGATATGAAAACTGTGGTCTGAGGACACTCTACTACAGACTAACTAGTCCATCTCAGTGTCTTTTCACCAGTTTTGCTTAAAGTTTAGTCTTGTTGCTAAGAGCAACCCTGAGAAGTTTCAACAGAATTTAAGCCATGAACAATAAAAGAAATCTGTGTACTTGAGTGCAGACTTTTCTAATGCAGCTACCATTAAGCTAATAAGACCTGGCATATCTAATCAAGCTATAATTCACAGAGGTCAAATGGCAGATGCATGGGAGCTCGCAGCCAAGTCCAATATTTTGTCAAAAGATAGAATAACCATCCAAGTCTGTGGCAGGTTTTATGGGGCAAGGCTCAGGCCCAGTATAAACATAATTAAGAAGTGAAAGTAAAAAAATGTAGAATGAAGCCACTAAGCAGAAGCTTTCAATGTCTCTGCAAAAATCTGTAAAATAATGCTTTAACTTTATATGTTTAAGAGTTTAATCCATTGAGTCAAACTACAATTTTGCTGGCAATCCCCTACAAATTTTGATATTTTTTGTACTCTTTGTGTTCACACTACTCATACCATTTAAAAAAACCCACCAAAGTCTGAGAGGCAATAATGATAAATACCTCTTCACAAATGATGAGTGACTGAGAAGATTTACATGGAACCATAGGTGCCACCACTGCCTCACCTTATAATTCATTGGGTCAAATCACAGTAGGAACTGTAGTCACTCTGCAGCTGTTATTGATATTCTTACTGGTTTTTATGTCTGGATGTGGATTTAATGCAGAAGAAAAAATGGGGCAGTTCAGTTGCCATTGACATTACTGGGCAAAAGACTTGGATACATGGCTGTCTGCAGAGCCCTGCTCCATCCCATGAACTTCAGGACTGGTTAAGGGCCTCAGTTCCAGTCTGATTCTTCAGCACTGGTCACTGCATTAAGCAAGCAGCTGCAAAAATGGGGTGACCGTGTTGGGTAAATGTGTAAACTACCGTGCTAAGGGTAAGGGATATAATACAGCTACTTCTAAAATCTACAAAAAGCCAAAAATCAAAAAATCTATAGGCACCAGTGCCCCCTTTTAGAGGTTTGACAAGACCTCAATCTTGTCTAGCCTCTGCCACTTATAATTAACACCATACTGGTAAGATTACTAATACTTGCAACACTAATCATACAACAAGCTATTATGGGGATCTAACACAATATACAACTAATGAATAGCTGTTTTATCCAGGTTCAGATTTGGTAACCGTGAAATAAGTTTATAGAAGGTATCTCTGTAAACCTAATGAGACATCCTCAGGAGTTGCCCAATGTAGAACTTAAACTTGTTGCCAAATTTCAGCCGAATTCATAGTGCAAATCTAGCACTCACTTTCATGAAGAATATTGGGTGCATTTTACTAAAGCCAAATCTAAATTTTGCTTCTAAACCCAATTCATAGTTACTGGTGGTATTAAACAATACACATAGAAAAATAGTTTAAACATAATTTTGACATCTAACTGTGTAACAGTCTCTGTTGTTTCACTTGTCTCAGGAACAGAGGTTTTTTCCTTCTCGGTAGTGAATTCAGGGTCTTTGCTAACAATTTCTGACCACGATGGAGATGGTCAGCTGAGTTTGAAACAGTTCCTTATGTTTGGTTTGCAGGGGTTTCAGTCCCGCTGTTTGGCATAGGCTCAGTTCCTGGGCTGGAACAGATGAACAGGAGTGTCCAGTCCTATAGGTCTAGATGATACGATGAATCTCTGCAGTTCCTGCAAAGTAGAGTTTAAACCATTAAACAATTTTGCAGATTAACCTGCGAATAGGGATCATGTTGTTTTCTGCCTTGGATTGTATGTGGATCTCTAATATGGCCATAGGCAAGGCCTGAACACACATCATAGATGTTTCTTGACAAACCCTGTTTATTTGTGTTTTGTGAGTCGATGAAGTGCGACTCTCTGTCTGATGACAATCTCAAAGGAACCCCAAATGTTGGAATTCTTGCATTTTGACTGTGTGAGAGAAACTCAAGCTTTTATCACATAAACTGATTAACAGCCAGTCACAGATCTATACGCCAGTTAGGAGCTTACCAGCAGCAGGCTGCGTCTGCATGCAGCACCAAACAGCACTCTGGCAGTGCCAGTAGCTCATCACAGAGAGTTTGCACTCTCTGGACAGATTCCAGGTCTTATCAGGGGACAGACCATCTTGCCACAGCCTGCCCCAGACTGCAGTCGATCATCTTTACCTCATGAAGTGGTAGTGCAGCTACCTCTTGCCTCCATGGATAAAAGCATGCTCATGTATATGTGAACATTAACAAGACAGTTGTATTATAATAAAGCTAGAAAGCAATCTAAGCAAACCATTGATTTAAGCAATTTAAACAAGTTGTCCCAACAACCATGTTACCAGTTTGCCTCAAAGGTTGCAGGCAAGATGCAAGTCAGGTCTTAGGGTCCCGTGGGAGGGTCCACAGAACTGGTGCTGTTGCAGTGCTGCAAAATAATAAGCAAGCAAGCTGCAAAATAATAAAGAAGAGTGATAGAAACAAGCTTCTTTGCTGAGGAGTAACAGAAATGAGCCAGTACTATTCTCAGTTTTGACTATGGAGTGGGATTGCAAAAAGATGATGTTATTTAGGAACGAGTCCAACACACATAAACAAATTGTCACAAGCAACAGACACTTCGACTAAAAGACTTGGTTGTGCTTTCACCCAGGAGGTCTAAACCAAAGGTCTTCAGCAATCAAATATAGAACTGGTGTTTAGTCTGTTAGTGCAATTTCAAGAGTCAACTGACTAATGAATGTCAATATACAATTATGTGGGATGCCAACAGTCTACAGCTCAACTTCTGCTATTCACCTTTTTACTGTACTCATAAATGAATGCAGAAAATAAGCTACCTATGAATATTAAAGAAATCCATAATACAAGTGGCAAATTTTAGAACATCAAGGAAATTTTGTGTTAGATTTTCTTTCATCATTGAAGTGTTTCCTTGCACACCAGTGTTATTCAGCACAGTAAATATGTATATATATCCTTCATATACTTAACTTCAAACTCTATTACCTGTGTTATGTTCTTGCACTAAAAATAGCCCTATTGCTTCATGACAAGCCTCTAAGAACTTGCATACCATGATTGCTGTGAGGGAAATCCCTGCTGTGGTATTTTGTGTTCAGCACATCTGGTTCACGTTTTTCTGGCATTCTGAAAAGATAACATCATAAGGGAGCTGAAAATGCACGTGGCAGTGAAAATGCATTAAGATGGCATTTACATAATTATTTCAAGAGTATTCTCGGAAGCAAAACTGCAGAAAGGAAAGCAGGTCAAATGTTTAAAATATTGGAAGGGTAAAAAGGTCAGAACAGTTCTGTGCAGGTGGACTGTAATCCAGCACAACATTTAAAACACATGCTGAGGAGGAAGCCACTTGCTGCTGAAAGCTTCAAAGAGCAGCTCCAAAGCACATCACTTCACCTCACTCCCATACAGCTTTTTGCCATAAAATAATTATGGAAATATCTCAAGGGAAAAATCTTTCATGTATTTCTTCTGCTTTTCCTTTCTCCTGGATTTTCTCATAAAATGATATTATGATGTACCAACATAAATGATTTAGGAGGAAGTGTTTGGGTTTTTTTCCTGAAAATACGTCTTTGAAAAAAAAGAAGTTTATCCATCAAAACTTGCTTATTGTCTGTCTTTGATAATTTGGTTTCTTAAATGTTTATTGCTCACCAATTCTTTGATTAGGTAGCTATGCTTTCTGCTTAAAATACCTAAAGAGCTGTATAGGGGATCTTCTAGTCATTAATGTTAATTTTAAAATACCTTTTAAAAAAAAAAGTTAATATTTTTGCCTGAATTTCAGGGAATAAATATGATTGCAAGGCAGATGTAAACCTTTTGGCTATATCATACCAATTGGGGAGTGGACAACATAAATGTCTCTTAATAAACAATGAAGGAGGACAATTTATAATGGCAATAAAATTAACATTAACTAATTCAATATATACTTGAACATATGACTTTTGTCAACATCAGTGTAATATACTGAATTCCAAAAATCATTTTTCTTCAATTTGGTGTCATGAATTTAAACAAAATCTGGGATGAAAGACTGTTGTTCCTTTGCTGTTCAAGGGAAACAAGCAGTTAAGCTGATCTGTGGTTGTATGGGGAATGACATTTTGATAATAGGACACTCAGCAGTGCATAATAAACAGATACAGGTGTTGGAAATGGAAAGTGGACAATTTCAGAGTGAAAGCAAGACGTGCTGAGTGTTGTTCATGCAGTACTGCTGAAGACATGGCCAGGAGTGGTGGAGCTTTCCAGGCTGGAGTCTTGTGCTAGCCCAAAAAAGCCAAGATTTTTCCAAGCGTAACTGAAAGCTGTCCCAGAGCATGAGCAAAGGCTTCCTAACAGCCAAATGATAAGGATCTGCAGTGACTCTGCCTTTCATTTCAAGAGTATAATTAGAGATACTCTTGCAAAAAAGGTAGGTTCAACTGATGGTTGTTGCCTCATAAGTGGTTTATCCATATTGCAAATATGTTTTTAGGAAAATGAAAGCTGTGGATACAGATAATCTAAATCTGGAACATTACAAACATACGATAAGGTATTTGTTTGTTTGTTTCATGTAGACAGTGGTTCTAAACCTCTAACTTAAACTTCAATGAGGATGTGTTAGGTTCATCTAAGTTGATATGGTTTAAAAATGCACTAAGTAAGTTGGAAGAATTTTTACAATCTCCATGTATTTTGAAATAAGGAAAAATAGCAAGAGCCAATATTAACACAAATTTTTTTCTCTCTGCATACTGCTTGCTGCAGATGCTACCTGACTGTTCAGATAACTTCTGGGACATCTGTCAGATACCCTTTCACGAATACATTTAGTCTCCTTTTATTTTTTTGGCATGGAAATGAAAGTACATGATCCTGCAATAGTTATATAACAACATTATTTTTTATCTGATTATTTAGTGCTCTCTAGTAACAGTACATTCTTTCAGTATGCTGGATGGTGCAATCTGATTTCCCTGGGTTTCCACTTAGAGGCCGTTACTGCTTGCAGTGATGAGTCACCAAATGCATACAGTGGAGTTATTTGCTCAACAGGAATCCAGGGTATTTCTCTAGCTTTTATGGAATTATTCTTTAGTTAAACCTTATTAATGTCTTTTAAATTACAGTACAGGTACCACATAATTTCAAACACATCTCATGTATGCTGTCCCTTCTAGACATTACATAATATAAACAGTTTTGATTTGGAATACCGAGTTTGCAACTGGTTTAGTTTTTTGTTTGTTTGCTTGTTTGTTTGTTGAGGGTTTTTTGGTGCCCTTTTTTTTTGCACCTTTTTTTTTTTTTAAGGTTACATACGTTAAAATTTCCATTGTAATTAATCTAAGAAGATAATTAGGGGCATTGCACTTTCTTCTGCACCAGAAGGTGCCTGCAAAATTTTTATGCCACTGTCTGTATTTTTGCACCTAATTCTGCTCTCCCTTTTCAAGCATCATCTCTCCAGCAATAAACACAAATGTGACAGCAAACACTGTATGGGTGGGTCATTTGGAGTTTATTATCTGCTACTTCTTGACTGATAGATTTTTAGGTAATTTAACTGGATGATAAATGGGAAATAGTGAGGGAGCTCTGAGAAGAAAATATCTCCTGTCAATGGTAAAAGTGCGGGGGACACGTTGCAAGGGAACTCTGTGCAGATGTGAGATATAAAGTAATGCTTAAGAGGGAATAAAGGGCTAAGAAAGAGGTGATGTGGTGCACATGCACCTAATGAGGAGAGATCAAGGATGACGGCTTAGGCAACATGAAGGGAGCCAGAGGGTAGATGAGGACAGGACTGGCTGGAGGGAGCTTTTGGCAGGCTTTGGGCTGCCATACTGACCCCTTGCACCTTTGACCCAGCTCTCTAGCCAGCTCTTCCTGAAAACAGGGAGAACAAAGTCTGAGTGCTTCCTAGGACAATGTTATAAGGCCATAGACGATAAGGAGAGTTCTCAACTATGTTAAAGTATAGCTCTAAATTTGCGGTAATGAGACTGGTCCCTTGTCTCCCATCCTCAGGAACTTCCACGCAATTATTTTTGCTAGGTTCACTTCTTCACTGTTCATGGCACATTGCCCAACTCAGAGGTGCATCAAAAACAAAGCATCTGATACAACATAAATGCTTAATATTGAACAGCATCCAGCATACCTCAAAGAACTAGATTGAACATCAAGTCAATAGCTTTTAGTTTAACGTACCATGCAAATCAACTTAGGAGAAAAATATTAAAGAAAGGTTGAAGCAGTTCCATTACCTCACCTCCTTTGCTCTTCAAGAAAAAAATTGTTCTTTGAGAGACCTTTGTTCTTTGAGGAACTTCTGAATCTTGGATTTTTCCAAACAAGGAAATCATCATACAAGTGTTAAGAGAGTTCAGAGAATTACCAGTAAACTCTTTTCAGGCAATTTATGCACAAGAACACAACCTCGATGATTAAGACCTGTCAAATCTACAAGTGACTGAAAATCGTAATAAGAAGCCTTACACAAATAAATATAGGATTTGATACCAATGACATAGATCATAATTATTAGCTTCCATTATAGGATCTAAGTGGTTCCTAAGTGTGTTTGATGTGTATTTTGTTGTGCAAGTGCAACTTGAAGTCACTGGGGCCTTTTGTAGCTTCAGGTGACTCTGAAAGAGTGGAAGTATTCAGTCATAGAATCATAGAATCATAGGATCATAGAATCACAGAATCACAGAATCAGCTGGGTTTGAAGGGGCCTCTGAGATCATCAAGTCCAACCCTTGGTCCACTGCTGCAGTGGTTATTAGACCATGGCACTGTCACATCCAGCCTCATCCTAAAAATCTCCACAGATGGAGAATCCACCACTTCCCTGGGCAGCCCATTCCAATGACTCATTACCCTCTCTGTAAAGAATTTCTTCCTCTTCTCTGGACCTGCTCTAACACCTCAATATCCTTCCTGAACTGAGGGGCCCAGAACTGGACACAGGACTCGAGGTGTGACCTCACCAGTGCTGAGTACAGGGGAAGAATCACTTCTCTGGACCTGCTGGCCACATTGTTCCTGATCCAGGCCAGGATCCCATTGGCCTTCTTGGCCACCTGGGCACATTGCTGGCTCATGTTCAGCTTCCTTTCAATCCAAATTCCCAGGTCCTTTCTGTCTGGCTGATGGTGGAGCACAGCTCTGTCACATCCACAGTCATGACTTCTTCAGGAGTTGTTATGAAGTACCCTCCAGCTGGAGAAGTGACCCACATGGCAGGTAAAATGTTTTGCTTACAATAAAAAGGGATGAGATACTGACAATAACAATAACATGATATGAAAAAATTAATTACAGTACTTTCTGTTTACTGACTCTTTTTTTATTTTCTGTGTCCTGTCCCAAAATCATACCTCTTTGGAAATATTACAAAATTCAGGCTTATGATGGCAGGTTGCTAAGGTAACAGTTTGCTATTTCATTGAAGAACTGTCTCCCCAATCTCATTATTCTTAATGCATATGTATTTATGAAAGTTTTCTGCAGATTTGCTCTGGAAAAGTATATGAACTTAGTAAATTTGAAAAGACATAAAGAAAAGGAGTATTATTTTTCTAGATACATTAAGAACAAGTATGAACATTTGTCAGTTAGAGAAATTTGGGGGAAAGAAAAAGGGAACACTAAAAATAATACAGTCTCTATACTTCTGTAGCTTGCCAGGATGATACAGTATTTCCAATTGAACTGGGAAAGGTATTCAGGCCTCCTCCTTCCATGACAAAGTGAAAATAATGTTTATAGTAATTTATCTATGGTCAGCTATTGCTCTTATTTTGTCATGACTGGAAGGAAATTGTCCTGGATGTTTTATGCTTTTTTTTTGGCTTTGTTTATTTCAGATCCCTGCAAAGTAGAAAAATATTCCCTTCTTTCAATATCTAATCAACTTTCAGAATAATTCATACTAGCAAATTCTGATGCTGAACCTACTAGCTTATTTCAAAGACCTGAAATATATACTGAAAAGAAAAATAATCACATGATTAAATAATTGTTCATCAATGTCTTCAGCATAACCCTTGTCCCACACTGTAACCATCCTTGTGTTTCTAGCATTCTTGGAAAGGACTACTGTTTGAAGTATATATGCACTGAGCTGCATTAAAGAGCTGTAGGAAATGTGAAGTGGAAGTTCAGAAGTCAAAGAGATCTGATTACTACCAGTCCCCAAGAAAGATGCCTTGAGAGAAAGTCTGTGTTCTTCCTACAAACATCAGAATTGTAATTGCTTTCATTTCCTCTGCTCAGTAGGTAGCATTTGATCTCTGATAAAACCTCTACTTATTATTTACCATGCTGGTAAATCCAAATTGCTTGGACTTAATTCTATATATATTTGGTATCTTTACATACTTGAGTGGAAAGTCTATAAGGGGATATTTATAATCTGTAAGCAGCACCTAATTAGCAACTAAAGTTCTTGTCAAGATAATCACCAGGAGGCTATCGAACTGTTATGATATTCTTTAGAAATATAAATAAATCAGAGAAAATAGCTACAAACAAAAGCACCTATGTTGTGCTTTGTCAGTATTATTTGGGCACTAAACATAATCATGTTTATTTTTAAGACAAAGACTGGGGATAAAACCAAAACCAAACAGAAGCAGGATAAAAGGCACACTGGGTATGTTACACCAAGTCAGCGCTCTGTTAAGTCTGACATCTTGACCCCAACAGGAGAGGAGCTAGTGGAAATGTTATATGAATAATTTAAGGGATCTATTATTCATAAGAAAGATTTTCTGGAAGTACTTCTGTATGAAACATTGCCCAAAAGAAGATAGAATTGGTGAATTTAGAGGTATGGCTAGGGAAGTTCAGATGAAGATGCAAAGGTACAGTGGGAGAGAGGGAGTTACATACAGGAAACTCGAGATTTTCAGTCCCCCTTGCCTAACTCAGAGCTCCCTGATGAAGAATACTATGCCTCAGTGAGTGTGACTGGATGAAATGGAGGGAGAAGTTGACTGCAAGAGGAAAAAGGAAGCTGAGGAGCAGTGTACTCCATGAGGAAACAAGAAGGAAGGAAAGAGTGACGAGGGAGAAACAAAATAAAGCTATTCCCATCCATTGCAAGCACTGATGAAGGAGGCAGGAGGGAGACTTCCCAGGGGTGGTGAGGCAGAACAGCAGGTTGTGTCTGTAGGCAGCTCTGCAGGTTGCTGCAGATGAGATAGGTGATTTGTATAATTTCTGATTATTTGACTAGGTACATCTTAAAAATGATGCCTGGCAGACTAGAGTTGTGAAACAGAAAGGTGAGTCATTTCCTGGCCACAAGGACAGGAGCAATGAGCGCATCACTTTCCACAATCACAGCTGATGGCAGCTGCAGCACCCACTCAGAAAATTTCCTCATTTTCCCAGCCTGGACTATGCTCAGCTGGAAACACACTCATGCAGTGCTGAAGGAGCCAGCTCCCCCTGCAGATGAATCGTGTTTTTTGGGATGAAAGGAAGAGTCATCTTTCCAGTACAGAAGAATACTCCACAGTATCAGGACTCTCAGGGAAAAAGGAACTATCTGGGTCCTTCCTTGCCCTTGAGGATATTTGATCTTCTCCCTTCTTCAGCTTGCTAAGGGAATAATATCTCAATATCTGGGAGCTGGGGAGGCTTATTCACTTTGGAAAGAGCTGGCAGTCAAGTGGTGCTGACCCAGACCTCAAAGAAAATGGTGCAATCTGGGAAAAAGCTGAGGGGGCAAAAAGCAGTTCAGTTCAACTTTGAAGGTTGGTATGATTAATGACATTATTTGGCTAGCTGTGTGTCAGGATGTTTACTTCTCATTACATTTGCTGCATGAAGAGAAAAAAGCACAAGAGGTATAGAAAAATTGGAAAAGGGGTATTTTGCAAAGTGAAAACAATTTCCCAAATGTGATTCAAGCCTCTAATTATCAGATACAACAAGAAATCCTCCACTACTATGCTCTTCCCTTCAGCCCTAATAACATGTCAAAAAACCCCAAATAAGTGCTCTTCATATAATAGTAACTGGGCTGTAAAACATCACTCCAATATATTCTATGGAAAAGTACTCCGAAGTACACACACCATTATTTAACCTGGAAAACAGTACGGGGGGTACATAAAGGCAGAGTTGTAGTTAATTCATTCCTTATGTTTGTTGTGATGCATTCTGCTTTAGGGCATGGACAGGGCAGGTGCATTATAACCTCAGCATTTCCGAGGTATCGTCCTGTGAAGTCTTAATTGCCTACATCATTTGAGAGGGTTTTTTGAGGCTGCATTTAAAGCTGTCTCTCTCCCATTCTCTTGTCTCCTCTGAGCAGTGGAAGATGTTTTCCTATCAGTTTTGGTCTCATCAAAACTGAGCTGCTAGTCTTGCTTTTGTGCAGATGAGCGTACATGGCTGGTACCTGTAAACACTCTTCTGACATCCTTAATGTCTGTCTTTGTACTTTATTGTCTCTCCAGCCTGACAGGTGGCATCTCTATCAATATGATCAGGAGTGTGAGTGCAGGACTTGTGTGAGCTAACCAAAAAAGGGTTTTTTTTCCTTCACTTACGCTGTTAACTGTTCTGTTCTTCCTCTAAACAAATTGTGGCTGTTTTTTTGTTTGTTTTGCTTTGTTTTTTTTTCCTTATCCTTTTCTTACTCTTATTATTTTGAAAGAAAGTGACATCTGTAAATCCATTCTCCCTTTTTGATGATGTCTTTAAGAAACAGAACAAAATTATAGTGGCCAACTTATGTGGTCACTAAACATCATGAAGGTCACTGCACCAGAGGGCTTGTAAACTAAATCTAAGCTGCCAAACAGTGACAACAGCAGTTTTACTATCTATAGGAATCAGCTAGCAATCTAGTCCCAAGTGCCTTATGTCACTGTAAAAACGCTAAGAGGCATTTCAGAACCATTTTAAGGATACCTAAAAGATAATCTTGCTTCAAAAGAGGTTAATATATAACAGCATTCCATTTATGGTTTTTCTTCTTTATTTATTGATATACAGTAAAAACAAATTACCTCAGTAGAGGCATAGCTATTTTTTTCCCTTAATGTTGGGGGTTTTTTGTTGATTTTTTTTCCCTGATATTCTGTGGCTAGCTGGGCATGCTGTAGTAATGAGAAATGCTTTGCAGGTATCCAGGCTTGTTATTTGTACCACCTGATGTGTCTTTCTACGAGACTCTGCTGTCCTAATGAAGCAAGAAGTATCTTTTGCTGTGATTCAGTCTCTCCCTCTGGTGTACTAGACGTGGGGTACCTTTGGTACAATTCTTGGCATTTTCTAGAAGACTAGTGAGATTAATAAACCAGTCAAAAAACCTCAACAATAGTAGGATTAAGAAAGGATTAATCCTACTCAAAAACAAGACCTGATCAACGCTACTTTTATTTATTTATTTATTTATTTATTTATTTATTTTTTATCCCTTACATCTTTGCATTATAGCTTACATCAGGAAATTAAACTGCACTGCCATCCTTCACATTTTTGCCTTTTATACTCCAATTCTTTTAGGTAGAAAAGCATGAAGAATTTATTTTTTCTGGCTTAGGGCACCAGAAATGAAGTGGTGACAGAGAAGATGCTCATTAGCATTTACACTGTTTTTGAAAATACCTAATTGCAATGGGACATCCCTGGGTTAGATTAACTCCCCCGGCTTCCCTTGGGCCTTTTCTGTGCCTAATTATTTCTCATAAAGGATCCATATTGTAACAGAAATCTCTCTTTATATATTCCTACAGGAAAACAGAACCAAAACACTTCACAGCTCTCTGGAAATGTGGCTGTGTGCAATGCAGCACATTCATGGTTTCACCTGAATGCAAACTTTCCCCTGGTCATACTGCCCTGCCTTGGGAGCCCACCTGGCTCCCACCTTTTGGAGCT